ACAGTGTAGAGAGAGAGAGAGAGAGAGAGAGAGAGAGAGAGTGTGTCCTGGTCCCGGTGGAGGCTTGTGGAGGGCATCGGATACTCTGGAGCTGGGGTTACAGGTGTTTGTGTGTTTCTTGATATGGATGCTGGGAACCAAATTCAGGCCCTCTGCAAGAGCACTGCATGCTCCTAACGGCTGTGCATCTCTCCAGCCCCACTCCTTCCCCGTTAATATCACACAAAGGACACACATTTTGGAGATTGGGTGGGTATTTTGTGTTTTGACTTTGTGATGGTGGAGAGGAGATTGGGAGCCGAGTTCAGGAGAGACGGGCAGATGTGTTCAGTGGTATGATCAGGGAGAGATTTGAGCAGAAGGCTGCAGAGGTGGGGAAGTAAGAACTGATGACAAGATGAGGAATAGCAAGGTCATGAAATGGCCAAGACAGTGGTGTTGAAGGCCAGCAGGCTTGAAGGGGTGAAGGAACCATGAGTCTCAGCATCAGCAGTGGCTGATGTCCCCATCACATGGAAATCTGCCCAAAGAGCTAAGTGACAGAGAGTAGAGCAAAAGAGATGGGTGAGTTTTAGGGAGCTTTTGCAAGGTGAGGCTAGAGAAGGGATGGTGCAGATGGAGACTTCAGCGCTGCTTGGGATCTATGTGTGGAAGGAGTGCCTTCCACCTGAGAGGCTCCATGCTGTGGCTTGAGGCTGGCAGATAGAAGCCAGGGGGCTGGGAGAGGGACCCCTAGACTGGGGTTTCAGGTACCTTTACCAAGGCTTCAGGAGCATGCCTGGTGTTCCACCAGGGATGGAGCCTTGTCTTCTGTCCACCCCTTCCCTTCTCTAATTTCCCAGGGTGCACTCAGGCTCTGTCCTTCTTTCCTTCTCCCAAGGGCAGCTGTCTGGACCCTTGACCAAGGCTGGTGAACCGTCTGCTATTGCACAGTATCTTCTGTATTTTCCACCTCATGGAAGCTAGGATCCGGGCTCCCAGAAGACAGCTGTGCCCACCTGGGATCACTTGGCTGGCCCTCGCCTATCTGCTCAGCTGCCTGCTTGCCTCCAGTAAGGCCAGGGTCTTCAGTCGCTGTGAGCTGGCCAAAGAGCTGAATGACTTCGGTCTGGATGGCTACCGTGGATATAACCTGGCTGACTGTGAGAACCCTTTCTCCCTCCACTCACTCCCCTGTCTTTCCTCCTACTAATTTAAGGGCCTTGGAGGCTTTTTGAGCTTAATCCTTCTTTGTAAAACCAGAAGCCAATGAGACAACAGGTGGATAGCTCACCTCCTGGGTAAACCACATACTAGGCAGGCAACAGTCAACCAGATTAGAACCATCTCTAATATGAGCTTTTGTTGCCAGGAAGTCAAAGAAACCAGCAGCTTAGTGGGTTACACTTCATCTTGGCCATGAGGATCAAACATGCCTGCTGGAACTTAGATGGCAAACTGAGCAAACCAAGCATTGCAGTTTCAAGAGATTGTAAAGTACAGTCACATCTAGATTAATTTTGTCTCTAGTCCTGGCCTCCTTCGTAGAGCCTTGTTTGTGTCTTCCTAATCTTGCCTCTAAACATTTAGCTCTTGTAAATCCATTCAACAAACACTACTAGACTTTGTATATACTGAATAATGAAAAAGTGGAAAGATTGACATCCCAAGTCAGGAAGGCAGATATCCAGTCCTGACCCTTGCTTTGAGGTTACTGTATGTAATCTCAGGGAAGTCACTTTGACCTCTGATCCTAGACTGATCCATCTGCAAAGCCTGTGGGAGGATGCCTGTTGTCTCCTTGGAGTAGAGGGAGCCAGTGTCTAGGAATCTGTGAGCACTTTGGTCTGTGGTGGCCCAACCACCTGATCTCAAAGCCTGTGTCTGACCCTTGTAGGGATCTGCCTTGCTTACTACACAAGTGGCTTCAATACAGCTGCTGTGGACCATGAAGCTGATGGAAGCACCAACAATGGCATCTTTCAAATCAGCAGCCGGAAGTGGTGCAAGAATCTCTCCCCGAATGGCCCCAACATTTGCCGGATGTACTGTACCGGTAGGCTAGCCTCTTTTTTGTAGTTCAGTTTACTTCCCCTGTCTTTGTCTCTGGGTGGGGATCTCCAGGAGATGGATAATGGGCAAGTGGTGATGTAAGGCCTTTGATGAGTTCAGTTTGTGGTCTAGGCTGAGAGAGATGGTTTTAGAGTTATAGGGATGGAGGGAAGATTGTGGGGGAGAGGGATAGGGTAACATCTATGTTCCAGAAATGGAGGAGTGGTGTGTGTGTGTGTGTGTGTGTGTGTGTGTGTGTGTGTGTGTGAGAGAGAGGGGGGGGAGAGCACCCTGTTCTCTGTTCCTTCATTCTCTGTTCCTTCTACCCCAGATTTGTTGAACTATGACCTCAAGAATTCTGTCATATGTGCCATGAAGATAGTTCAAGAGCCCCAGGGTCTGGGCTACTGGTGAGTAACCCCCACTGGAATTGTGGGAGCTGTGACCAGGAGCAGAGGGTAGCGTCAAGAAACTAGCCTTCCATGAGTAGCCACTTTGTTTTAGGCAACACATTTTCTTGGCTTCATGAACCAAACCTTACAACCAGTGTTGGGGATTATGAGAATCCAGATAATTACAGATGACACAACCAAGGAGGATAACACTGGCAATCACATGACCACACAGCTCAGCCCAAATTTTGTAGAAAAGCCCAATGTGTATAATAGATGGTAGATGAGGTTCTTTGCTTAGATCATGGGTAGAGCTCTGGAACCTTCCTCTTCTAGTTTTTTTCATACCTACTTCCAGAAATAAGTTCTTTGAAGTTTTCTCATAACCAAGAGGTTGTCTGATCGTCACATTGGTCTCTGACGTAGATGGCTGATTCATAGAAGCACCTGGTCAGATGCTTCACAATTGCCCAGTCTCTTTTGATGGGGGATTTTTCCACTGAGTCTCCAGCCTCTGTTCCACTCATGCTTATGAGGGAGAAACCAGCAGGGCAGCAAAGAATCTGGGAAAGGTGAACCACTCCAGGGGCTTGGAACACCGAGACCATGGACAGATGTAGCAGCTGGTAAGGTTGGAGAAGGAACCTAAGGAGACCTTGGAGCAGAAGGAAGGGGGAGAGAGTAAAGATGGGGTAGGATTGAGGGGATCTGTTGGATGGTCTTGCAGGATTCTAGGTGAGACAGGTTCTGGAGAGTGACAGGTGCACCAGTAGTTGATACAAGAGAGATTAGATAAGGGATGGGAAGGGATTCAGGGGTAGGTGAAATATGGTCTAAGACAAAGAGGAGGGGTGAAAATGACTGAATCTCGAGGCATTCCAGAAACATTACTTGAAATAGACATTGCTTTGTGGTCTTAGAATAGTTGAGACCCTAAGAAGTGAGTTAGGGGTAAGGCTAGCTCTGTAGGACACAGTATGTTTATAAAACCAGGAAGGGACACAGACAGCTCAGGTGCTATTCCTAGAGCATGCAGCCTTGACACCCATACTATAGTAGAAGACCTGGTCCTAATAGGTTATACACTTGTTCTGAATTCCTGGCATGGATGACTCTCGAGAGTCTAATGCTAATTGGAAGAAGTGGGACCAGCAGGTTCAGTGCTGCCTATTCCTGCCCACTCACATGCACTGGGGATGCAGGTAGCAAGGCCCAGAGGGGTGCTGAGATTCAGAGACAGCTGAGACCTATCTTTATCCTGGAGTATTTTATAGTCTAGTACAATAGACAGTCAACCTCTCTTGGTTGACAGTTATTTAGAAGTCTTTCATTAGGCTCTTTGACATTGACATCAGAATGGACACTATTTTTTAGACCTTGGGATTCCTGAGAACCTTGGACCCCAGGACCCTGTGTTCTTGCTTATCTTCATCAAGTTATCAGATGTGATGGGACTGGGGAGACAGTTAAGTCCATGAGAATTGTTTGTCATGCAAGAGTGAAAACCTGAGTTTGGTCTCCAGTACATATAGTTGAAAGCTAGGCATTTGGCATTTGATCCTAGCACTAGGCAGGTAGAGACAGATTTCTGAGGCTTGCTGGCCAACCAGCCTAGCTTAATTGGTGACCCTGTCTAAAAAAAGTTGGACATTTCCTGAGAAATGACACTCAAGGTTGATATCTAGCCTAACACACATACACACACACACACACACACACACACACACACACACAGAGAGAGAGAGAGAGAGAGAGAGAGAGAGAGAGAGGGAGAGAGAGAGAGAGGAGAGAGAGAGAAATGGTCCCAAGAGAGTATAGCAGTCAACCATGGAAAGAGCTAGATTGGCAACCAAGACATGCAGAGTGTGCATGCAGCCATGCACCTTGGGTGGACAAGTTTACATCACAACCTGAGTTTTTCATTAGGAAAATAGGGGAGAAAACATTGACCCCATCTACCTAATAGGCTACTGGGGACAGCAGGGAAGTAGTTTTGAGTGAAGGGTATGGTGGCATGTAAACTGTGAAGGACTATACACATATAAGGTGATCTCACTGACCCCAGAAGCACTTGGAGGTAGGAACGAAGCTTTGCACCTAGGCTCCAGATTCTTGCTTCTAACCCTTTGAGGAGGACCTGTATAAGCTTGATCATATAGTTTGTATCTTCAATGGTAAAATAAGACAGCTAGATAGTGACTTTTAATGGCCAGTCTCTTCCTTAAAAAACATCTCCCCTAGGTTTGCTTGGCTTATTTGTTGCTTCCCATCCTCTCAGCCCCTCGATTAGCCTCTCTCTTAGCAACCTTGCTTCTCTTCAGTTTAGAGCCCCAAACCTTTTCTGCTCTCTGAACAGGACCAAGGGCTGAAGCTGATGTGGATTTTTGCTTTTTAGAGACAGGTTTCTCTGTGTAGCCATGGGTGTCCAGGCTGACCTCAAACTCACAGATATCCACCACCTGCCTCTGCCTCCTGGGTCCTGGGACTAATGGTGTGCACCACCACCACCTGGCTGCTGATATGGATTCTTTTCCTACTTGTTTTCTCTCTCTAGGGAGGCCTGGAGACAACACTGCCAGGGCAGAGACCTCAGAGACTGGGTGGATGGCTGTGAATTCTAGGACCCTCTCTCGATGGACCAAGCCACACACAGCTGATTGGGAAGTGTGGTTTTGTTCCTGACCCAGGCTTGGGAAGACAAGCCAACTAATAAAAGTCTAATATGACATAAGTATGTTTCCCAGCTTTCTGCAGGTCTGCAGGTGCTCAGCTGGAGCCAGAGTCTCCTCTTGTCTTCTCATCTTAAGTGCTCACCTGGGCTTGGCTTCAGGTGGACTTCAAAATGCCTATATGGAAGGCTTGGGGACAAGGTCAGTGTCTACCTTCCACATACTTGGCAGAGGTTGGGTCTAGAGTCACAAAATTTAGCAAAAATAGGATTAATTTGCATTTAGTTAAATCTGGATTTCAGCTACACAAGTAGCTTTAATATACATGTATAATTCAAATCTTATATGGCTCAGACTAATAGCGAGGAACCTACTTGTATATATGAAATTCAAATTTAATTGGGAGCTGCAGTGTTATTACCTGACAAACCTAGACACGTCTGGTGTTGGGAACTCCTGGCATATTTGGAAAGGTTCTGGGGATGCTTACTTTCTGCAGTTCTGGTTGCAGATGTAGTCACCATGCCTTAGCTCTCACTCTGGTGTCCCCTCACATCCCATGGTTGAGAGGGGGTACAGAGTGACTGCAGGTGAAGAACCACAGGGGTGTGTCCTGTCTGTCCGTGTGTCATCGTGTGTGTGTGTGTGTGTGTGTGTGTGTGTGTGTGTGTATGTATGTATGTATGTATGTATGTATGTCCTGCTTTATTGGCTACCTTGCTCCTTAATGCCCTCTAGAAGCAGGAGATTGAAGTGTCACTGTTAATAGCTGGTCACTTCTTGGAAGGGGAAGTCATCACACTCTGCCCTTAAGAGGCAGGAAGATGGAGTGGCGACTTGGCAGTGGGTTTAGAGGGTAGCAAACTGCAGAGTGCCTTTTCCAGTATGTGGAAGTTCTGAGGAAGACAGTACTGCTCTCACTGATGGGAGCTCTGTCTCAGATACCAGGGACATCTGTTTTTAAAGGAGCAAGGTAGGCAGAGTCCTGAGATGGCCAGAATAGCAACAGATATAGTTAGGATTACTATTATTGTGATGAAACACCATGACCAAAAGCAACTTGGGGAAGAAGGGGTTTATTGGGCTTACACTTCTTATCACTGTTCATTACTGAAGGAAGTCAGGACAGGAACTCAGTCAAGGCAGGAGCTGATTGAGAGGCCATGGAATGGTGCTGCTTACTGGCCTACTCTTCATAGTTTGTTCAGCCTGCTTTCTTTTTTTATTATTTATTTATTTATTTATTTATTTATTTATTTATTTATTTTGTTTTTTCGAGACAGGGTTTATCTTTGCAGCTTTGGAGCCTATTCTGGCACTCACTCTGGAGACCAGGCTGGCCTTGACCTCACAGAGATCTGCCTGCCTCTGCCTCCCGAGTGCTGGGATTAAAGGCATGCATCACCAACACCTGGCTCAGCCTGCTTTCTTATAGAACCCAGGACCACTGCCCCACTCTGTAAATGGAGTTCTTAGTTGGTCTAGATAATAAAAAGCCAGAGTCAGAAATAGAGGGAAATGCTGAGAGATCAGAGAGAAGGAGCAAGCCACAGCACACTTCACCTCCTTAGCATCTCAGCAGACAAGAGAGCAATTTCCCGTTTCTTCCTGCTTATGTCCTGTTTCTTCCCAGCTACCTCACTTCCTGTCTGTCTGTACAGACCTCCAGACCTTGTTAGCTAGTGGCAAGCTCCATTCTCTGACCTCCAGACAGGCTTTATTTGTTCAAGTAAGATATCAGCACACAACTCACAATGGGGTGGGACCTCCCACATTAATCACCGTGTTAAGAAAATGCTCTATAGGCTGGCCCACAGTCTTATGCTGGCATTTTCTCAGTTGGGATTCCCTCTTCCTAGATGACTCTAGCCTATGTCAAGTTGACATAAAATTAGCCAGTACCACAATAGAGATGATGTGTGAGAAGAATGAGTCTTGATTTCAGACTGTAGCGTCCTCTAGAAGGGCTTTTATTGAATCCTGTATGTGCTAAACTCTAAGTTGAGGCATGGTTGGTGCCTCCCAGGAGGATGTCACCCAATGTTCCCTTCCCCCAAACTGCTGAAAAGCACTGGAGGAGCAGCTGAGAACCTACGATTGATGAAATAGATCTGTTTCCATCTACTGCTGGACTGGTCAATGAATGATAAAACAAGGGAGCTGTTTATCCAAGTGGACAGTGATAAAACATCTTGCTAAGAGGTGACATTGATGACTAATCGATCTATTAAATGACACAGATACCCTGTGCTGACCATGTGCCATGCATTTTGTGATTTATACATGGAGACGATATTAACCATGTGGATACCACTATCCTCCCTGTTCTGTAGATAAGGACAGTTTGTACCCAAGTCAGTCTGACTCCTTAAGTGGAGAGTCACCATATGGTAGATAAAGGCTTGATACTCTGCTCAGAGACCCAGGACTTCTCTATCTTGGATGCTGTAATTTCAGATATCTGTACCTGCATTGCCTGATAGCTCCAGGGGGCCTCATTCAGTTGGTCTTGGAGGGGGAGCCCAGGAATGGGTGGAATGGGGCTCTTGGAAATGAGGGGAGAATTCTTAAAAGGATGTGGAGGCTGCTATCATGGCCTTAAGCCTCTTCAAGGTTACACCAAGCAGTGTCAGGTCTGGACAAGGGGACCCTGAAGGCTTGTGCTAGAGCATTGACTGGGAGCAGGTGGCTTTGGAGAAGACATAACCAGGAGAGAGTGCTCTGATCAAAGGCCTGGTTCATGGTGAGGGTTGAGAGTGCACAAGCTCACCTAGGAGTGGAACCTAAAGGAACACTGGGTCCTGAACCCAGTGCCTAAGAGAAATGCTCATGTCTCAGGTACTCCGGCTACATTGTGGTGTCTCCCCATTGCCCCATCACTTTCCCCTACAGTCTTCTGCTCATGGAATCTTGTCTACTTGACCTTTTCTTGTTGTATGTTGTGTATCTTCCCTCTCTTTGTGTGTGTGTGTGTGTGTGTGTGTGTGTGTGTGTGCAGGTACATCTTGGAGGTCAGAAGTTAACCTTGGGGGTGTTCCTCAGACACTGCTTATCTTTTTTTTTTTTTTTTTTTTTTTTTTTTTTTTTGGAACAGGGTCTCTTACTGGTCTGGAACTCATTGATGAGGTTAGGAGCTGGCCATTGGGTTCCAGGGATCTTCTTGTCCTGGCTTCTCCAGTATTAGGGTTACACATATGTACCCTTATGACTGGCTTTTTCTTTTTTGTAAATGTGGGTTCTTGAGGTTAAAGCCAGTCCTCATGCTTGTGTGGCAAGCACTTCTCAGCCTCTGATCTCATTAGTTCTGGAAACAACCCCATCTTCTGCTCACACTCAGCTGCAGTAAGTCAAGCCCTTATCATTCTTCACTGGGTCTGGTGAAACAGCTTCCTAAAAATGTCCCCCCTGCCTTTCACTTTGTTTCATGCCACTGCCATTCCTCCCACAGCTTTCTCTCTTGTCTTGTCTTGGGTTCTGACCACAGTGTCTTTTCTCATTCTTGGCTCTTTCTTGTATAGGAGGGCTCAGCTGACTAGTACAGCATCACCTCTCACTCAACTCTCTGAGTGTCTCCAGTGCAGCGATTCTCACCCTGTGGGTCACAACCCCTTTGGGGACTGAATGACTCTTTCACAGGGGTCGTATATCAGATATCCTGCATGTCAGCTATTTACATTATGATTTATAATAGCAGCAAAATTACAGTTGTGAATTAGCAACACAAATAATTTTATGGTTGGGGTCACCACACCATGAGGAACTGTATTAAAGGGTCACAGCATTAGGAAGGTTGAGAACCAGTGCTCTAGTGGCAGTGTGTCCCGGCAGCTAGTTCCCTGAGGTCGGCACCCTTTTTCATACTTTCCTTATCATTCATTAGACTCTCATTCACTAACTCTGTGCTTTGAATGCCACAAGCTACAGGGCCTCCGTAGCTCTAAGGAAGGTCATTTCACTAGAGTTTTCAGTGACTATTCCTTTCTTCAGAGTTTACCTCAATTTCACCTCCTCAGAGTGACTCTCTGACAACTAGCGCTGAAGGAGGCACCTCACTTTTCCTTGTCACTGCCTTAACAAGTCCCATCAACAATGATTTCTTACATATATAAAGAAACACACACACACACACACACACACACACACACACACACAGACGTAGACACACACACACACACACAGACACACAGATACAGACACAGACATAGACACATACAGAGACACACAGACATATCTCCAGTTTCTTCTACTAGATTGTAAGTGCCACAAGAGCAGGAACTTTGTGTGTTTCTTTTGTCTCCAGCATTTAGAACAGCAGAACAGAGTACTCCACAAATGGAGGAACCCACTGAGGGCCCAACTGGTATGCAAATGAACGACTAGTAGGCACTCAGTTGTTTTCTGGATGAGAGAAGGAATGGGTCCTGACACCTTTAACAAAGTCATGATTCATTCCATGGTATCCCTAAGAACTACCTATGTGCCAGGCCTCTGCTGCCTCTGAGTGGACACATTGCTTCTCCTGAGCCCTCTTGGGGAATCTCCCTGCCTCTCCAAGAGATCACTCTAGTTGTTCTTTATACGAGTCAGACTGGTTGCCTGCTCAGCCATATCTGTCAGCTGAAGGAACCCAGCATGACCTGGCCAGAGTTGGAGCAATGGGTTTTTCTCCCTAATCTCAACAATATGACCTTGGGAAAGTGATGCCCAGGAGTTTAGCATTTCTTTTGGGCTAGAAGAGCTAAAATGGATGCTGCAGGCAGCAAAGTGACCATCACATTGTTTGGCACAGTCAGGGCTCCTGTGTGCTTTCCCGGGCTTTGGGTTTCCTGAGTGCCAGCTGCCTCAGGGACAGCCTGAGGGTGCCTCCAGCCCTGCCTACCTGGAGATCTGCACACTATTTGCTGAGAAAGAGGGAGAAGAGAGGGTGTGAAGAGAGGGAAGGAAAGGAGCTGGAAAAAGTGGCAGAGGTTTCTTTGCTTCTATTGAGTGTGGGAGAGTAGGTAACCCCATTCCAGACTAAAATGGCTCAGATTTGAAGCAGGATTTTCTTTGTCATT